ATTAATAGATCAATAGTAATAATTCAATAATACACAAAATGTTAGATCTAAATATAATCTAATTATACTGAATGTACTATATAATGAATCTCATGTATCCTAATTCAATCAAACTATATAATAAGCATGGTCAACTTGCATCACTTAATTAAGTTCATAATATATAATATATATTACTGTGGAAAATTTTACACAACAATCTTTATGGTGCAAGTTGTCCATGATCATGTATTGTGTATTCTTTTAAATCCATTAGCATACTAGCTATTTCATTATGCCTCCATGTTTAGTAAGTCTATTATTGTCGTAAAAAATGTTATTTTTACCAATAAGCTTGTTCATATTTAAAAGTATATGACATAAATTAGTGAAACTTTTAATGTTCCGGAGGACATGAAGGATATGCTTTGGACGATGCACAAAGTACCCCGAATATCAGAATTAGGTAGTGCTTTCGTTGGAAGGCCTCTATGTACCCAAAAAAGAAAAATGAAATTTTATTAAATTTTACACGTAAATAACAACAAATAGGAAAAAAAGAAAAAAGAAAAAAAAAAAGATGTACACTTTTATAGTGACATTTATATAGTCATATGGACCCTGGCCTTTGTTGGACTTTGGACTGCTGCTTTTATGTTGTTTTATTTTATTTAAAAGTTCTTTGAGGATTGGAGCCTGGAAAATATTTACTTATCAACCCTAATAAATAATAAAATAAGTATAAGAATTAAGTCACTCAATTGCACATTAAATTGTAATTAGATTATCAAATTCAATAAAAATATAATAAAATATATAAACAACATAAATCCATACAATTCGACCCAAAATGACATGTTTACATGAAAATATGCTGGCGTGGCGGTTATCAAATTTAAAAATAATTTTAAATAAAATAATTATTAAAAAAAACAATCGAAAATGAAGACTTCTTCAGTGGTTAACTTGTAAAATATGTCATTTTTATTTAATTGCACGAATTTGCTTTCTTCAAGAAGTTAATTACAAAATGTTCTAAGTTAAATCACCTAACTACATTTTATGTATAATTTAGTGATTAGTTTAACTCTGAGCAACTCTAATTAAGTTTCGAATTGTTAGCAATTTTTATTTTATGACTTTACATTTTTTACAGCAGTTCACAAACTCATTCATTATTATAATATTCAAAATTTAATTTCTCGTGAGAGTTGTCTATTGATCCTTTTCATCTGAAACGATCAACGATCAACAATCTATGTTGATTTATACATTATAATTTATTATTTGTTAAATTTATAAGACAAACTTCACCCAAAATACGTATATATATTTAGATACCTGCTATTAGGACTCTATTATCCATATTAGACTAGGACTATATTATTCGTGTTAGACTAGGATTTTATCTAGTATCTCTATATACTCCCTCCCTGTACTCTCAGACATTATTATTGAATACAACACAATTATATTCTCCGGACTTTACAAATAATACCATCTTTCTAATAACGTCCAATAATGCAAAATTCCACTTTTGACTATTTGTGTTGATCCTGAACCGACTACACAGCTTAAATCCGGTTAAAACCGATCAAATTTTGGTAATAAAAAAAAAAAGAATGAACCCGGTTCAAGACCGGAGGCGTTCCCTCTCTCATTCCCCTTAATTTTCCCCTGTTATAGACGAAGAGGGTAATTGGGCGTCCCAAAGCCCTAACCCTAATTACGAACCAAACCTTCGGACCCGGTAATTCTCCGGTTAGCTCTCTCAATTTCGGTCTCGCCGACATCACGAGTTCAACTTTCAGGCTTCTGGTAATGTTCGTATCTTTATGGTGTTCTTAATTTATGATTTTCCTATATCATGAGTTTGTGAATGTTGTTTTCCTTTTACTCAACCATAGGAGCTGATCTTCCTGTTTGAATACTCTTTTTATTTTTGTATTTTGTTAATGAATTCTGTTGTTAATAACTTAGTACTGTTGTGAATGACTAACCCCTAACCTGCTCGGCAGTATGCCAGTATGCGAATCCTAAAGTGAAGCTATAATAAGTTGTTTGTAGTTTGCATTCTTTCATATTGCCTCGTTTCATCAAATTCGGCATAATATGTGTTTATGGCTTATATTTTTTACTTATAATAAAATTGTGAAAAGCTTTATAGCTAATGTGTTTTAAATATTGGGGGTTTTGAATTTTGATGATCCAGAACACCTGCATAGGCAAGCTCAAATGAATCCGCTGACGTTAGTGAAGCGCATACAGAACATAAATGCTAAGGAAGCTGCATTAGGTTTATCTGAGGATGCTTCATGGCATGCCAAGTACAAAGACTCGGCTTATGTGTTCGTTGGTGGAATCCCTTTTGACCTCACCGAAGGCGACCTCCTGGCTGTTTTTGCTCAGTATGTAGTATTTTGCTTCAATTTACGTATTTTTTTACTTTTCCACTTTTGCTTGTCATGTGGGGATTAAGAAATTTAAAAATTAATGAATTTTATTGTCTAATGCTTTTTTAGATATGGTGAGATAGTTGATGTGAATCTTGTCAGAGATAAGGGCACGGGAAAATCAAAGGGCTTTGCTTTTGTTGCTTATGAGGATCAGAGAAGTACAAATCTTGCTGTAGGTCAGTCTCTCTCCCTCCCAAACACATATACATGATAATATGATATGCTATTTTAGTCTGACATATATCAGTTATTAGAGAGAGAACATGAAACTGGTAGTTTGATTGCTCAAAGTTGCAGTTTATTTTTATTGGATTTTCAGATAATCTGAATGGTGCACAAATTCTTGGGCGTATTATAAGAGTGGATCATGTTAGTAACTATAAGAAGAAAGAGGAAGAGGATGAGGAGACTTTGAGGAAGAAGAGGGAAGAAAGGGGTGTATGCCGTGCATTTCAAAAGGGTGAGTGCACTAGGGGAGCTGGATGCAAATTTTCTCATGATGAGCAAGTAAGTTTGACTTTACATTAAATTTTAATTTGCTATACTCAAGTATGACATGAGTTGCCATTGAGTGCTTGATGAAATTTTACTGTCTTGTTTTGTATCTCAGTTGATGGCACTCCAGTAGGTTGCAACCCGTGTAAGTCCTCAGAGGGAATATATATATTTTTTTAATGAAAACATAAATAAATTGAGGAAAAGGGGAAAAGAACTGCAAAAGCTATTGAGTTATGTATATGCTCTCGTCTTTATGAAATCACTTTTTATTTAACTGTCAAGAAGGAAAATATGAATGCCGTGCTAAAAGGCCCAAAGGAAAGGACACTGCTTATAGGCTCCTAGCTCATTTACATGGAGAAATCTGTCTGTCTAATCGTTTGTCTATTCTGACCTTTTAGATCTTACAATTGATTCAAGGCTCTGGTCATTGCCATCTCTTCTTCTTTAGCTAGTTTTTATCCTTGTTCCAAACTTATAATGCTCAGTTTCACATTGTTCTACATTTTTTAAGTGGTTACAGTTTTTGTTTCTTACTCTCTCTCTCCCTCCAAATGAGGTACTGACATTGTTTTTTATCTGTATGTAGAGAGCTGCAAACACAGGTTGGGGACATGAAGAAGATAGACGTTCAAAATGGGATCATGAAAAATTTGATGATTCTCGGAAGGATAAGAGGTTTGGCCAATCAAGTAGTGCTGTAGATTCTGGTGTTGAAGAGAAACGTAGGTATAGTGATAAAGATTCAAAAGTGTCTAAAGCAAAATACAGCGATATGCAGAACTATGATCATAAAAAAATTGATACAGTGGATATGCACAATAGAGGTGTTGAGAAGCAATCAAAGCGAAAGGAGAGGGAAATGGATAACAAGGAAGACTATGATGAACCAAAGTCACGGGGAGATCGTGATAGGATGTATGAAAAAGTGAGGAGGAGGGATGATGATGATGATAGGAGAGATGAAAAGTCACGGGGAGATCGTGATAGAATGTATGAAAAAGAGAGGAGGCATGATCATGATTCAAAATCAAGGGAAGATAATGATAGGAGAGGTGAAAAGTCACGGGGAGAGCATGATAGAATGTATGAAAAAGCGAGGAGGCATGGCCATGATTCAAAATCAAGGGAAGATGATGTTAGGAGAGATGAAAAGTCAAGGAAACATGAGGATGATCGAAGGTCAAGGGAAGATGGCGATAGGAGGGAGAGATCAAGAAGACGTGAATAAATGATCAAAGATTATAGGGGACTGGATAAAACTGCCCATGATTTCCCACCCAACCCCCCCAAATCGTCATGGAAGGAATGGCAATGATCAGCAAACCAGAAATATAAATGATCTATTTCCACAGGACTGAAGTTATGCAAAGTGATTGAATTTTCTTTATGTTACATTCCCTTTCTATGCCAGTCCCCCATCCACCATTGGTGCTGTGTGGTGGGTGATGCATATCAATATATCATGTCTGTACTTGAAGTTGTTAAATGCTAATCTTGTAGCCAAAATTAGGGCAGGAATTTGTAAACTTATGTTAGCCTCTTTATACTGCCACCAGTGAACCCACTGCCAATTTTGCCAGTAGTTGATGTCCATGGCTTCATTTATGCTTTTAATGCCCTTTGATTAACTACTAAACAGTTAGGGGCATTTGGTTCCTATAATCTTTAAATATTGTTACATTTTTGTATAATCTAAGAAATTAGAGGACAAGATTCCTATGAATGTGACAAATAAACTAATAATCAAGATTTTTTTATTTATCAGGAGGGAAAAATCCGAGGACTCAGAATTACTGGCTCCTAACAAATATGTCATGCGTGCTAATATAATATCATTCCATTTCTACCCTCATTATTCTCCAATATCCTGACTGGGCTTTTTGGCACCATACTGCAATAAATGAGAGAGAGAAAAAAAATTGTCTAAGGTCAGCACTTCCGGCTGGAAGTCAACTGGCGATAGACTGGAACAGTGGAACTTACCCTAATTTGAGCATTGACCATTGACCAATTATGGAAGAGTAGCGCCAAAACTGGTCCCAGTCTGTAAAAAAAGGAATTGGGTTACAGTTACACGGCATTGACATTTCACACTCTGCCAAGAAGCCTCGTCAAAGTTTGGGCAATAAGGTTAACAATTATGGTTTTAAATTATTCATGGGGAGAGCGACATCAGTGGTTCAGTGCCGGTTCCTTTCACCCAAATACATATATCTCAAATCTAGAACATTGCTTTCAGCTGAAAACTTTGATTTGTTGATCACATGCATCCACTATAAAGTAAGAACTTTTGGGGCAACCTCAGCCAAGTTGATCATACTGTTGACTTGATAACCACAAGAGTACAAGTTCGATTCTTGACGGGAACTACCTATTGACCTTCTTGATTTGAGACGGTCAGCTATAAGTAACTTAGGCTGGCTTACCTCATTGTGGTCATTTGCTTAGGTTGGCTTACTTCATTGTGGTCATTTGCTGGCTAGTCATAATGCGAGATTTATCCAATGCATACTTTTAGATGGTGGCTATAAGTTTAAGAAGTAAAACCTCTTTCCACTGCAAGAATTTTCCAACGGACTCGATATATATCTCTGTCAAGCTTGTTCTACATATCATTTCCTCAGCTCTTAGCCTCTCACTTCCCTCTGCTACTTTCTCTTCTTCCCAAATGATGATTCCAACTACTAGTCTAAACTTGCTCTTTGCACTCACCTTTAATGCCATTGTTTTTGTGTTCTTGAACTTTTCTTTTCCAGGCTATGCATCATCAGGCGTACCTGGAAATGATACAGATCAACTTGCATTGATGACGTTCAAGTCTGGAATTACTGAAGATCCACAAGGAGTTCTGGATTCTTGGAATGCAAGCGTGAGTTTCTGCATGTGGCCTGGGGTCGCATGTGGCCTAAAACACCGACGGGTCACTGTTTTGGATCTCAGAGGCCATGGGTTGGGTGGTACTCTATCATCCCAAATTGGAAATCTTTCGTTCCTTCGGATTCTTGATCTTTCAGACAATTCCTTCCATGGTGAAATCCCCTCAGAACTAGGTCATTTGATCAGGCTCCAAACCATGAACTTGAGCTATAACTACCTTGGTGGTGAAATTCCAGCTAACCTGTCTCGTTGTGTTGGCCTAGTTGATCTTATTCTTGATCACAATCACTTTGAAGGGCACATTCCTGTTGAGCTTGGTTCTTTGACGAAGCTGGAGGCGTTGTATCTTAAGAATAATAACCTCACTGGGAGTATCCCAGCTTCAATTGGGAATCTGACTTCTTTGACAGAGCTTTACATATCATATAATGATCTGGAGGGCGAAGTTCCTGAAACAATGGCCAAGATGAGAAGCTTAACAATGCTAGGCATGTCAGTGAACTCTCTTTCCGGGGAGTTTCCTCCTGCGCTTTACAATCTATCCTCTCTTCAGCTCATAGGCCTGTCATTCAACAAGTTCGAGGGTACACTTCGAGCTGATATAGGAATTGCCTTCCCCAATCTGCAGTTCCTGTATTTGGCAACCAATTATTTCATAGGAGTGATTCCGGCCTCATTGTCCAATGTTACTGGCTTGCTTCGGCTTGATATTCCATACAACAATTTCACCGGAAATGTACCTATGAGTTTTGGAAGCCTTCAGAATCTATTATGGCTCAATGTTCTCAGTAACCAGTTGGGAAGAGGCGCACCTGATGATATGGATTTTGTAACTTCTTTGTGCAATTGCAGAAAGCTCGAGTTCTTGGATTTTGCTGATAATAGATTTGGAGGTATGTTCCCCACCTCGATAACTAACTTGTCAACCACATTGACAAAGCTTCTTATTGGTGGAAACAAGATACAGGGAATGATACCTAGGGAGATATCTAACCTTGTAAACTTGAATGCACTTAGCATCGAAGAAACAATGATCACTGGTAGTATCCCTGATTCTATCGGAATGCTTTCAAATCTAGAAAGTATCCATTTTGAATCGAATAAGCTAACTGGAAATATTCCCTCTTCATTGGGAAAAATCCGAGGACTCTTGCGACTCTACCTACAGGATAACAGCTTAGAAGGGAGCATACCTTCAAGTTTGGGAAATTGTGTCTCCCTGCAAAACCTGGACATTTCTCAGAATAAGCTTACTGGTACTATACCGAAACAGGTTTTGAGTCTGTCTTCCCTTTCAGTACTCCTTAATATGTCTTACAACTCCTTGAGTGGCCCTTTGCCCATTGAGGTCGGAAACCTTAGCAACCTTGCTGCATTTGATGTTTCAAACAATCGATTGTCTGGTGAACTTCCAAGCACACTGGGGGGTTGTGTGTCCTTGGAAGTACTTAACATGCAGCACAACCTCTTTGTGGGGCCATTACCTCCTTTAAACAACTTGAAAAATATTCAGTACTTGGATGTTTCTCAAAACAACTTCTCGGGCCACATTCCTCCGAGCATGGCCAAGAACTCCACTCTCTATCTGAATTTATCATTCAACAATCTTGAAGGCGAGGTGCCTGCTCGGGGTGTTTTTGCATATGCAGAAAGGATTGATGTAACAGGCAACATAAATCTCTGTGGGGGAATCAAGGAGCTTGATTTGCATCCATGCGTGGTAGAGGAACCCCAAAAATCTAGGAAGCACACTGCCCTTATAATAGCACTGGTTCTCATTGTTGTAGCAGCGTGCCTAAGCATAGCGCTGCTGCTAGCAGTTTTCTGGAAGAAAAAGGCGAAGAGAAGTAGAGCTAACTCATCATCTCAAGTCATGAACTTCCATGCAAAAGCATTTGCAAATGTGTCTTATGAAGATCTCCTAAATGCAACGGGAGGGTTCTCTTCGCAAAACTTGATAGGATCAGGTAGTTTTGGTTCCGTCTATAGAGGAACTCTGGCCTCGGATGGAACAATAGTTGCAGTGAAGGTACTGAAACTTCAACAGACGGGGGCTGACAAAAGTTTCTTGGCCGAGTGTCAGGCCTTGAGGCACATCCGGCACAGAAACCTCGTGAAGATCTTAACTGTTTGCTCCAGTGCTGATTTTAGTGGGAATGAGTTCAAAGCCTTGGTCTATCAGTACATGCCAAATGGGAGCCTAGAAGAGTGGCTGCACCAGAAGGACAGAGAGGATAGGAGGTTGAGTATCTTCCAACGGTTAAACATAGCAATAGACATCGCTTCAGCATTGCAATACCTCCATGATCAATCTCAACCCCCCGTTATTCACTGTGATCTGAAGCCAAGCAATATTCTTCTTGATGATGATCTGTGTGCTCATGTGAGTGACTTCGGTTTGGCAAGGCTTCTTTCAAACCCAGCTCAAGAAGCTGAAGGGATCGAGTTTAGCTCACTTGGGATCAAGGGAACCATTGGATATGCTGCTCCAGGTAACACACTTCCACTGAAATTTGCCACATTACATATCTTTTCAGGTGTAAAACGTAATGCATAAGCTTCATGATATCTGCAGAATATGGCATGGGTGCTAAGGTGTCAAAACAAGGAGATGTCTACAGCTTTGGAGTACTTTTACTCGAGATTTTCACAGGTAGAAGACCTACTGATGAAATGTTCAATGACAGTGGAAATCTTCACAGTTTTGTCAAACAGGCATTACCTGATCGAGCAATGGACGTTGTTGATCAATCAGCTCTCTTCGAGGAAGAACCCGGAGATCTGACAGGCAAAATTTACTGTGAAAATGGCTTCAAAACCAAGATTGATGAATGTTTGGTTTCTCTCCTTGGCCTTGGAGTTGTTTGTTCAGAGGAAGCTCCTGAAACCAGAATAACAGCAGGCAAAGTTGTGGCTGATCTTGTTTCAATTAGAAGTAATCTAAGCAAATATGCAGCTTTACAGAAAAGAGTGCAATGACCTGGAAACATTATGATTCAGGTTCAGCTGTCATTTAAACTGTAACTGTGTAGTGTTTACTCAGCCCCTCAAATCAAAAGGCATTTCAAATGCAATTACGAAATATTTGATGCACACCCAGAAGGAATTAATGTAAAAATAAAAATAGTACTGTTAAAATATTGACTGTTTAAGGTTCAAAAGCACATTGAGTGGGGGAAAAAAAAAAGACTGAGAATTCTATAAGAGTTTACTACTCAATAAATGATGATTCAGCAAGATCAATGGCACGGACAAGAGCTGCAGCCTTATTTTCACACTCTCTCTGTTCATCAAGAGGATTACTATCAGCTACAATACCCGCTCCAGCTTGGATATGAGCAATCCACTCTCTTCGTTTATTCACATCCTTGTAGGAGTACATGGTATCATGACGCATTGCAGTTGGAAAAACAATGGTTCTCAATGCCAAGGCTATGTCCATGTCCCCAGAAAAGGAAATTCCTCCAAATCCACCACCATATGGTCCACGCCTTGTCACTTCAAGCTCATCAATCAATTCCATGGCCTTCACCTGATTATAGCAAACCAAATAGAGAAAAGCTACATAAATGCAACAACGCTGCAAAAACTAGTACATTTGTGTGTGGGTATTCTAAACCTAACAGAGTTCAAAGGAAAAGTTTTTGAAATGGTTTCTCTTTCCAGTCTCATAAATGGTTCAATAGAGTAGCAAAAGGCATAACAAGCTCATCATTACAATAATTAAAATATTTGACCACAATTCCAAATTGAATCATGAGATAAGAGTTATGATCACTCAAAAAGAACATGAAACATAATGAACAAACAAATAGAGATGATTGGAAAACCTTTGGGGCTCCACTGACAGTACCAACTGGCAATGCAGCACGCAAAGCATCCCAGCTACTTAAATGGTCATGGAGCTCTCCAGTAACCTATAATGTTTGGCATTAAATCATAACAAAGAATAAAACTGAGCAATTCCAATTCAATATATTTGCTCAACAGTGAAAGAAGCTACAATGTCATCCACAGTTCATTACTTATTTCAATAAGAACACCTGTGCTCTAAAAGAGAAAGATGGCAGATACTGTATTGACCTAAGCTCTAACATCTCATTTTCTTCTGTTTTTATTATCATTGCTTCTAATCACTAGCTTGCATATTATAAGCAAATCACTAACTTGCATATCATCCTTCACCTATATCATCATTTCGTATAAACAAGGGCAAGTCTTGATCACTAATTATGAGAAATATATATCAAACTGAAAGGACTAACCGTGGAACTGATGTGCATGACATGGGAAAAACGTTCAATGTTCATGAGTTTCTCAACTTCCACTGAACCAATTTTAGAAACCTATAATAAGAAGCTACATTAGTGAAAGTACAATAGCAAGGAAAGACAAATATTTGAAACACTCTACATATTTTCCATGCATGAAAAAAGAGAATGCAATCCTACAAGCACCAAGCAGGGGCTACAAGAGGGCGAAGTACGATGCTTAATATTTAAATCAATTTCCAAGAATTTTCTTAACCATTGCTACCTCCAATATATTAATAAAGAATTTTAATAAAATAGCCCCATTAACATCCCTTTAGATGTTATTGGGGTTATTTTACTTCAAAGAAACCAATTTTTACCAAGATGATACTTGAACTGTGTTTATTATTGCATTAGGACGAGTAGTGTATAAAAGCAATATGAAGGCCGGCTTAAGGATTTTGTATGCTGAACATAGATCAGAAGCAAGCTCACTTGAAAACAGCATGCAATTGTTAATTTCAGAAAGATAAGTACCACCTTGCTAAGAACATTGTAGTCTAGTGGCTTGGACCCAACTACCCAAGACTCTAGTTAAAAAAGCAACAAGCCCAATCCCCATTACCCTTAAATAATAAATAAAAATTACCATCTTGACTATTAGCAAGAATCACAAAACAAAATGTACATATTCCAAATTTCCAATAGAAACTGTGAGGTGCCCAAATATATGAATAAAACAATTTTAAGATGAAAATTTAGAGATTCCTCCATGGAGTAAATGATAGTAATATTATGAGCATGCTTTTGTACTATTATAAATTTTAAAAGAATAAAGTATAAACTCCTTTATTTATTTGGGCATTATTTAGACATACATCCATTGTCAAAATGGAATTGGAAGATCAGCTAACTGATGTTTCTCATTATTGACTGAATGAAATCACATCTAAAAATAACACAACCTTTCCCACATCATTTCTTGCCATGTCAACCAGCATGATGTGCTCTGCACACTGCTTTTTGTTATGCAGAAGTTGATTTTCCAGCATGTAATCTTCTTGAGATGTCTTCCCTCTCCTAACAGTCCCTGCTAGTGGGCGATTAGTGATTTTTCCCTAAACAATGATGATGAGGTTATTGAAGTGAGCTGCTCTAAAGGAAAATTAAGAAAATAAGACATGTAATATGCAGCAGCAAGAAATTATTTATTAAAAAAAAAAAAATCTGGGCACTCCTGAACATATTATCCAACTCATAAAGCAAACGAGAAGTGGAGGTTTTTTTTGTTTTTTTTGGTATCAACTATTTACCTTCTTAACTCTAGTAAGAATCTCAGGACTTGAAGCAACAAGTATACACCCCCTAGCCTGAAAAAGCATAATTAAAATTTGAAGTAAACATATTTTTGTATATGAAGCAACAATATTGTCTTTATAAAAAAAAAAAAAAAAAAAACCAAGAAGAAGAGAGAGAGTGCAAACCTGTAAATAGGCCATATATGGACTTGGATTAACAATTCTCAATGCCCTATATATCTCAAATGGATCTGCAAATGTTCTCCTTTCAAAACGTTGACTGAGAACTATTTGGAAAATATTCCCATCTAGAATGTGCTCCTTAGCTTTCAAAACGGCATTTTGATAGTCTTCACTGGTCATGGTTGATATCTTTGCTGAACCAAAATGGCTTGTATGTAATTTTATTAAACCTGCAGCTAACCTAGGACTAAAATTTAAAACTATGTCAAATGTACTTAATCGTAGCAAAAGAATGTGAAACATATTGTTGTGCCTCTTGAAAGGAACATGTACAACTTACGTCTCTATATTGTGCACTTTTGATATCAAAGCTTCTAACCGGTCCATGCCATCATTAAAGGCCTCCTCAACTGAAGAAAAGCGATCTAGCTGCACCCAGTGTATTGCACATGCTTTCTGATATTTAAAGAAACACAATTAATTACATATTAATAGCCTGATTGCCTGAATGAGAATCACTCATCCTCTCATTGTGGCATTGGATAAAAATTAATTCTTTAGAAACATGATTTTACTGCACATTTGATTATTGAAGCACTTTAAGATAGAAAATACCAACCAAAAGAATAAAGTATTCATTAATTAGGAAATAGGAGGCAAAAGTCCACATAAGAATTCCAAACTAAGCAGGTGGGCAATTGGCAAAACTAAATGTTTTAGTACATAATATAACCTTCTCTACATGATCCATCACAACAACATCATCATATAGGCCAATGTGAAGATCAGGGAGAAACCGGTCATCCAAAGGGCCATTTGAGAACGGTAGTTTCTTTTTCTCAACAAAACGTACTGTATCATACGAGAAATAGCCAACCCAGCCACCTGATAGGAAAAGAATTCAATACAAATCATAGCAATTCCGGATACAAGTAATGTCCTATATGACATCAAAGTTAAACTATATTGTCACTATCAAGCAAGTTCAATATACACTCATTATGCTGTGTACCAAAAGTTCAAAACAAAAATAGCAGGCTCGCGAATTGAAGAAGAGAATAAAGGTTAAATGAATTAAATGACAAAAGATGAAAAGTGGCATACAAAACAAAGGATGAATAGCATTTAACATACAATGAATTAAAAATGAGGAAAACTGAATATTCAAACAGAAAGGATTACTAAATGCAACCAGATACTCAAGCTATGATATAAGGGAAATTTGGCAAACAGAACTAGATAGGAAGATTTGGCAAACAAAATTTCAGTGTCAATGGAAATGGAATGTTTATGTGTTCAACAATATTGTCTACAACTATTCCTCATATAGCAAGACACACCTGAGGGTAGCAGCTTCCTACATGCTGCACCTCAATATGTCAAACGAATAAAGATTGCATTACCAGTAAATGCCTCAGGAAGCTCATCGAGCCGCTGAGGTTTCCATTTGTCCATAATCCTACGAGGAATGGCCATATGATCCTCTTCAAATGTCTCTGTCCTTTTCCCTTCACGGTGGTCCATAATTGTCACCGAGTTTTCTTTTGCAATAATCTCCATAGCTGGCTGAGCACCAATAACACTATACCGCCCCTAACATTGTTAAAATTACAACAACAACAACAACAAAAGTTACGTTTTCACTCTTATGATATAAAGTCAGTATCGCATTTGATTTTCACCATATTGGAAATGCTTACGTTACTTTCAACTTTCAGTCCAACGTTTACGGACTCGAACAAGAAGCTGGGAGCTTCTCTGTCATCTTCCTTCACCAAACATCTGTAGGCAAGCACAGGTGTTAGTTGATCAGAGAATATTGACCTATACAGTGGCACCAAATTCCCGTGCCGCGCAGCTTCCTTGAAGCTCACCGCTTGGTCCACTGCACAATCAACACCATTTCAGACCGATCAAACACCAATACGACACCGATCACAAAATCAAAATAGAATAAAATTACATGGAGGCGGGGAGACAGCCGAGCATTTGACCATCCATTTATGCGAATCGGGCGATGAGGGGAAGAGATTGACGGAGGCTTTGGGGGTGCAGCAGTGCCGGATGCCAGAGGAGAGAGGAATGTGTGAGAGAAGTCGGATTTCCATATCTTGAGAGCTTCAAACTTCGAATCAAACGGGTTCGTATACAAACTACAAAGAGCAACAGTAAACACAGCACTGAGGTTTTTGGCGTCTTGGATCATCTTAATAATACAAAAAAGTCTCAAAATTGACAAAATTAACTAGACCAGGTTGACCTTTGTATTCTGGGGTCAAAGACTAATATGCGAAAGAAATCTAATTTGTTGATAAAAATTGGAATATTTTGAAAGTTGGACTAGAATAGGAAAAAAGTATTTTGGATAGAGAAAATATGGGATGCACCGTTCTAGTATAGGTGTTATACAACTGCGGTGAAC